ACGTGTCTACCTCAGCAGCCTAAGGAGCTCCAGAGGGCAGGGAGAGCCTGTGACAGAGGCTCATTTTGTTTTAAAACACTTTTCATAAAAAATTTAAAAGTAATATCACATTATGCAAAGTTTGAAACTAGAGAATGAAAAAGATCACCCTGAATCCCTTCATCCTGATTCAAGGTTATTTTTTTATTGTTGTCTTTCTCTCTCTCTCTCTCTCTCTCTCTCTCTCTTTCTTTCTTTCTTTTTTTGAGACAAAGTTCTGCTCTTGTTGCCCAGGCTGGAGTGCAATGGCATGATCTCTGCTCACTGCAGCCTCCGCCTCCTGGGTTCAAGCAATTCTCCCGCCTCAGTCTTCCCAGTAACTGGGATTACAGGGGCACGCCACTGTGCCCAGCTAATTTTTGCATTTTTAGTAGAGACGGGGTTTCACCATGTTGGCCAGGCTGGTCTCGAACTCCTAACCTCAGATGATCCACCTACCTCGGCCTTCCAAAGTGCTGGGATTACAGGCATGAGTCACTGGGCCCAGCTGTTGTTGTTTTAGGAGACAGGGCTTGCTGTATCGCCCAGGCTGGAGTGAAATAGCGAGATCATAGCTCACTGCAGCCTTGAACTCCTTGGGCTTACACGATCCTCCTGCCTTAGCCTCCTGAGTAGCTGGGACTATAGGAACGCACCACCATGCCCGGCTAATTTATTTTTATTTTTTATAGAGATGGTGGTGGTGGTGGGGGGGGTCTCATTATGTTGCCCAGACTGGTCTTGAACTCCTGGCCTCAAGCTATCCTCCCGCCTCAGCTTCCCAAAATGCTGGGATTACAGGCTTGAGTCACAGTGCCCAGCCCAAGGTCTGTTTTTATTTTGTTGAATTTCCATAACCCTAGTAAAGTAGATGCTCAAATATCATTCAAACATGGAATGAATTAATAAAAGGCAACACATACTGAGCACTTAATTATGTGCCAGGAATTGTTTCAAGTGTTTCATTTCACATTTACTGACCCATTTAATATCCACAACATGAGGTGGGTATTATCATGATCATCACCATCTTCATTTACTTTATTTTTTCCAAACACCAGTGTCACTTGCCAATTTATTTAGCAACAAGGTAGCTGAAGCACAGAGAGGTTCAGTAACTTGCTTAAGGTTACACAGCTGGTAACTAGAGGAGCTGCGAGTTGAACCCTGGCAGTCTGGTGCCACAGGACATTACTAGTGTTGCTCTATTTTGGCTTATCGTAATCATTAATGTATATGCAGGTTTAGACTTTTTTTTTTTTTTTTTTTTTTTTGAGACGGAGTCTCGCTCTGTCGCCCAGGCTGGAGTGCAGTGGCCGGATCTCAGCTCACTGCAAGCTCCGCCTCCCGGGTTCACGCCATTCTCCTGCCTCAGCCTCCCGAGTAGCTGGGACCACAGGCGCCCGCCGCCTCGCCCGGCTAATTTTTTGTATTTTTTAGTAGAGACGGGGTTTCACCATGTTAGCCAGGATGGTCTCGATCTCCTGACCTCGTGATCCGCCCATCTCGGCCTCCCAAAGTGCTGGGATTACAGGCTTGAGCCACCGCGCCCGGCCAGGTTTAGACTTTTTATTATGAACAGTTTTAAAAATAAAAAAGTAGAGAAAATAGCCCAGGCACGGTGGCTCATGCCTGTAATCCCAGCACTTTGGGAGGCCAAGGTGGGAAGATCACTTGAGGTCAGGAGTTCAAAACCAGCCTGGCAAACATGGTGAAATCCCGTCTCAACTAAAAATACAAAAATTACCGTGATGTAGTGGCGTGCACCTGTAATCCCAGCTACTTGGGAGGCTGAGGCAGGAGAATCTCTTCACCCGGGGAGGCGGAGGTTGCAGTGAGCCACTGAGATTGTGCCACTGTGCTCCAGCTTGGGTGACAGAGTGGGACTCTGTCTAAAAAAAAAGTAGAGAAAATAATATAAGGAACTTCATGTCCTCATCACACAGCTTCAATAATTATCACCTCATGGCCCATCTTATTATTTCCCTAATGTTCCCAGTCCAGATTATTTTGAAGCAAATGCAATCACCATATCTTTCATTCACAGATATTTTAGTATGTATGTCTGAAAGAAGGTCTTTTTTTTTTTTTTTTTTTTTTTTTTTTTTTTTTTTTTTTGAGACAAAGTCTCACTCTGTCACCCAGGCAGAGTGCAGTGGCATAATCTCGGCTCACTGCAACCTCTGCCTCCCAGGTTCAAGCAATTCTCCTGCCTCAGCCTCCTGAGTAGCTGGGGCTACAGGCATGTGCCACCATGCCTGACTAATTTTTTGTATTTTTAGTAGAGATGCGGTTTTACCATGCTGGCCAGGCTGGTCTCAAACTCCTGACCTTGTGAGCCGCCTGCCTCACCTCCCAAAGTGCTGGGATGACAGGTGTGGGCCAAGGAAGATTTCTTTTTTTTTTTTTTTTTTTTTTGAGACGAAGTCTCGCTCTTGTCCCCCAGGCTGGAATGCAATGGCATGATCTCGGTTCACTGCCACCTCCGCCTCCCAGGTTCAAACGATTCTCCTGCCTCAGCCTCCTAAGTAGCTGGGATTACAGGTGCCTGCCACCACGCCTGGCTAATTTTTGTATTTTTAGTAAAGGCGGGGTTTCGCCATGTTGGCCAGGCTGGTCTCGAACTCCTGACCTCAGGTGATCCACCCGGATCAGCCTCCCAAAGTGTTGGGATTACAGGCGTGAGCCACCGCACCAGGCCATGGAGGACTTTTTTAAATTAAGAGAACAATCTTACCACAATTCCATATCATGCCTGAATATTTAGAATTCTTTAATATCATTGAATACCTTGTCAGTATTCAAATTTGCCTGATAACTTAATAAAATCTTTTTTTTTTTTGAGACAGAGCCTTGCTCTGTCGCCCAGGCTGGAGTGCCAATGGTGCAATCTCGGCTCACTACAAACTCTGCCTCTCAGGTTCAAGCGATTCTCTTGCTTCAGCCTCCCGAGTAGCTGGGATTACAGGCGCCCACCACCACATCCAGCTAATTTTTGTAGTTTTAGTAGAGACGGAGTTTCACCACGTTGGCCAGGCTGGTCTCGAACTCCTGACCTCAGGTGATCCGCCTGCCTTGGCCTCCCAAAGTGCTGGGGTTACAGGCATGTGCCACCATGCCCGGCCTTTTTTTTTTTTTTTTTTTTAAGTCAGTTTGCTTGAATCAGGATCCAAATAAAACTTTTAGTTGATATCACTTAATTTATTTTAATCTGTAAGTCTCTCTCCCTCTTTTTTATTCCTTTTTTTTTTTTTTTTGAGACAGGGTCTCACTCTGCTGCCCAGACTAGAATGCAGTGGCACAATCACAGGTCACTGCAGCCTTGACCTCCCGGGCTCAACTGATCCTCCCACCTCAGCCTCCTGAGTAGCTGCAACTATAGACACACCACCATGCCCAGCTAATTTTTGTATTTTTTGTAGACATGGGGTTTTACCATGTTGTCTAGGATGGTCTCGAACTCCTGGACTCAAGCCTTGGCCTCCCAAAGTACTGGGATTACAGGCGTGAGTCATCATACCTGGCCCCAATTTTATTTGTTAAGGGAATTGAGTGTTTGTCCTAATTTTCTTCATTCTAGACTTTGCTGACTATATCCCTGGGGAATGTATCTTATGTTATTTTGTGTCCTTATTTTTTCATATAACTTAGCAAACATTTCCCCATACTGCCACAGGGTTTTCATAATCTGTCCTAAATGGCTTCATACTATTCCATCCAGTGGATATACTGTAATTTTTTTCTTGGGCATTTGGTTGCTTTCAGTTTTTCACTACTATAAATATTGCTGGAATGAACATCCTGACACATTGCAGCTTTTCCTGTACATGGGATGACTTCCTTAGAATATGCTACCAGAAGTGTAATTATGGCTGTGAGGCATGGAGAATTTTTCAGCTTCTTGGCACACAGTGACAATTGTTTGTCCAAGGGTTTGTGTGTCCCCCAGCACCAAATAAGAGAGCTGTCACCCACTCTGAGTAGTGCTTAGGGCTATTCACAGTTGAAGAACGTTTGGGGAAGACATGGTAATTATGAGGGCAGATTTAGAGAAGGAGAAAGATGATGACAGGGACTCCGGCTAAATAAAGCAGAAAGTGATCTGCAATTTACCACAAACCTAGAATGAGTCAGAACTCTGTTCATTCCTATTGTGAAAAAAAAAAAATCCTTGATAATAGTGCATGACATGTCCAGTAATCTTTCTGTTAGACTCTGCATTAGTCAGAACCTCATTGGAGACGTGGACTCAGTCTGGGTCACTGAACTTCATAGAGATGTCAGGAAACTGACCAAGACCCAGAGGGCTCGATTAACTTGATGGAGGATGAAGAATCCCAGAGAAAAATCAAAGGAGTCAAGCAGGCTCACTTCGGAAAAAACAGGCACCTTTCTTGCCTTAATGCGGGGGAGGTTTCTGTGAAAAGAACAACACTGGGTTTGCTTATGTCTGCAGAAAGATGTCTATAAGGAAAGGCACCTCCACAAACCAGGAGAAACTTCCATAGGACACAGGCAGAGCTATTTCAGACTCGGGTGATTATTTCGATCTTGGGATGAGCCCTTTTGGGGCCATTGGCCCTGGAAATATTCAAGAAGCTGCCTGTTCTGCTCTGGGTGGTTCAAATACCCACCTGCCTGGTGACCACCAAGTGTCTCTGGGGGTCCCACTCCAGCTGTGTGACAACTGTTTCCTGGCAGCTCCCTGGGGAAGGAAGGGTAGGTGGAGTCCGAGTGAAGTGCTCCCCAGTTTCCCTGGGCTAGCCTTTTCCTTCATGTTCCCTCACTTTCAGTTCAGGGTGCCATGAACTGCCATTCAGAGTCAGGTTGGCATGCCATGACATCATCTGATCTTGATATTCCAGCCCTGCCCTGCACAGAGTGGACTTAGAAAGAAGCTGGGTAGGGAGTTGAAACTACTCAGACAAGGCCTCTTGGTGACATGGAGAATGGGAGTCACCGAGGAGACCTCAAGAGCAACCTCCTAAAGTAATATTAAGTAGATTCATACAATGCAACAGGTGCTTTACATACATTTTTTTGGGTTCCCACAACATTGGAGGTGGGGTTTCACAGGTGTGGAATTGGAGATTAAGACAAGTAATTTGCCCAAGGTCACATTGCCAATAAAGGAGGGCCTGCCCTATGTCTACCAGGCAGTAAAGTCTGTGCCCTTGCCTTTAGACGATGCAGATGTGAAAACTGTAGACCAGAACCTCTCATTCAAAGCCACAAAAGCTGACCTGAGACAGAAACTCAGGCTCCTTACTACTGATCAAGGAATCTATGATACGTGGCTTCTTCTCACGTCAGGTGCAGGGAGGCCAAGGAAGTGGCCCGGTCCGCGGCAGCCTGGGCCAAGAGTGACTGAGAAGGAGAAGGCAGGCTCCGTTCTGGGCCCTCCAGACCCTCACCCCAGCCAATGTTGTGAAAAACGCGCTCCCAGGAGGGCCCAGCAGGGCAAAGGGCCAGGCTAGTCTGTTTCTGGAGGAGCCAATCTGGGGCCGGGGCGGAGGCAGCCAGGTGCAGTGGAAAAACCCTGTACTTGGGGTCAGAATATCTGGGTTTCGATCCAGTCTGGGACCCAGCAAAGACCTACAGCAAGTTACTTACAAGTCCGAGTCTCCTCATCTGCAAAACTGGGGCACAGATAAAATACACTTGAAGGGCACAGGAGCAAAAGTTGGAATTGTTACGCACCAAAATTCTATCATCCGATCTGACCACGTCACGGTGCAACTTCCAACAGCGCGTCCCCGGAGAGTCCGGGAACGGAGCCCAGGAAAAACTACAACTCCCAGGAGCGTCGGGCGGGCTGGCCAGGAACCAGCAGAGGAAACTACAACTCCCAGGAGGCGTCGGGCGTGCCGGCGCGGGGCGGTGACGTCGCGGGGGCCGGCGCGGAGCGCTGATTCGGCCGGAGCTGCCAGCGGGGAGGCTGCCGCCGCGGGTTGTTACAGCTGCTGGAGCAGCAGCGGACCCCGCTCCCGGGAACCGTTCCCGGGCCCTCGATATCCGGCCCCGCACGGTGAGCCCAGACGGAACCAGGAGGCCCCAGGGCTAGGGGAGGGGCGGGAGGGAAGGTAGGAGCTGCTGGGGAGGCGCCCCGGGCTGGATAGACGGGGGCAGAGGGAGTGGGGGGTGGAGGGAGTGCATCAGCCGAGGGGGTGCTGCGGCTAGGGAGGTGGCCAAGGAATAAAGTGCGAGCTGGAGGCTGGGGGTGGAACGTCGGGAGGAGCGCCTCGGCTAGGGGTGGGAGGCGGGGAGCGGCTGGGCTTCTGGGATAAACGTTTGGCTGCTTCCAGGGCTGGGTGAACGCGTGGAGATGGCTGTGGGGTCCCGGACCTGGCCGGGTTCCGAGTGCCAGGACCCAGACTGGGCAACAGAGCGGGACCCCTCCCCCCGGCCCCGCGCCCGAGGTCTCACTCAGAAAACCCCAACAACAGTGAGGACTCCGCCTCTTCGCTCCTCCTCTCCTCTGCTTACTGCGGGTTCGCCTGGGCACTCGCTTTCCGCTCCCACCGCCCTCCCCCAGTCGGGGTGGCTGGGCCAAAGTTGAGATGTGATCAGCTGTGGTCCTGCAGCTTGGGGGGTGGGCGGAATGGAAGTGGCATCGTGACGTGCTCCCGCGGACTCCCCTTTGGGGTCCCCATCCAGGCCCGGATGTTTTGTGCTCCTCTTCCAAGACAGGGGGTTTGCTGTTGTGAGGGCTGCTCTTTCCTGGGGGAGGGAATGGGAAGGGCTCACCTGGTGGCTGCCCTGGTGGTGCTCAGCCTTGGCTTGAGTGTCTGGCATACTGGCTGGGCCCGAATATTTGTGCGTGGAGCCAAGCGGGTGGGGAGGGAAGAAGGGGGAAAGAGCTACCAGCAAAAAAGTGGTTAACAGAACAGAGTTGCTGCAGGCTCTGGTTTGAGGCAGGTTATGAAACCACATCAGGGCCCGGCACTAAGCAGCCACCTGCCAGCTGTGGCAGCAGAAGTTTTTAGCTCAGCTCCTGTAGACCTAGTCGACCTGTGCCAGCCTCTTCTCTCTGTTTCTCCCCATCTAGGGGAGGGGTCGGTTGGTTGGTTTACTAATGGAAGTGATATGTGCCCGTAGTCACACGAAAGTCTCAAGAGTGTTTCCTGGCTGCCAGTCTTTTTGTTAGTTTATTGATCTCTTCTTTTTCAGGGGTGTCTGGTGGTTTCCTGCTCTCAGGGTACCTAGTGTTTAGGCTTCAGGAAGAAGCTTTCGGGGGTGTCGGCTGGGACCTAGGTCTAGTCTTTTCCTAGGCTCATCGAGTTTTGTTGGCTGCCCTGTGAAAGCCAGAAAGGGGTATGGGGTCCTGTGGTCTGGGATTCCACGAGGCTTTTGGCACTCTTGGACAACTACTAGGAAGGGTTAGTGGGCTTTCTACACCAGCACCTCTGTAGGTGCGGGTTACAGAGAGGTGATGGGGTGGCGGTTTCAGGTCAGACTTGGGACGCTGTTTCCCTCTCCTTAGAGGTAAGTCCTTCAGAGCCCTCACTTCTCAGCCACATGCCACCCTCTCGTCTCAGGTGGAGGCTTTTGCGTAGTAGCTGTCCCAGGGGCTGCTAGAGTAGCTGAAGCCCCAAGGCCCTGGGAAGATAAACAGTGGGAGCCAGCTCTGGCTTTCTAGATGCTAGGATTTCTGTTAGGCTCCATTATCCAGCCTCATGGGCTGCACTGATGGGTCCCAGGAGCATCACTGCAATCAGAGTGCGCCCCAGGCTGGCGCACAGGTGTTTGCTTGTTGGGATGGTGTGTTGTGGGTCACGTTTGCCCTGAGGTCTCTAAGCTTGGAGCTGTCTGAGAAGAGGAAACTTGCTCCTCTTATCCTGGAAGTAAAGAACTGGCCCCTGAGGATTCAGGCTCCTGTGCAGGTTTGGCTAGTTCCTAGTCAGAAGTAGATAGCATGTGGGTCTGAGGGGGTTGCTGCAGGGGCGTGAGGCAGGTGGCCTTCCGGGTACTTCTAGAATATCTCTATCTGGGAGTCTTCTCTGCATTCCCAGGAAAGATGGGGCTGTTAACATGGTGATGATCTTATGGTCTTTAGCAAGCAGGACCCTACCTCAGATAGGGAGGTGAGCCAGTACACAGGTGCCATCCGTCTCCGCTTTCTCCTGGTCACAGGGCCCTCAGGGATCTGGGGACAGCCAAGCTCTGGACAAGGGGCAGATCATTCCACCCCTTCCTTCTCTACTTCCCTCTGCTCACTGTGGGTTGTGGCCACCTCCTGGCTCCTCCTGCTGCAGGACTCCCACCGTTGGTGCTGGGCAGGGGAAGGCATGGTGCTAATGTACACCTGGAAACAGGTGCTGAGAGGGGAGGCTGAGGTGAGGATGGGCAGGACAGAGAAGAACGGGGCCAGGAGGAAGACCACAGGTTCGAGTCTGTGCCCTTGGGAGACATATGTTGATGTGGGTTCCAGCGCTCTGTGGGAGTTATAGGTGTTGGCCACATTCTCTATCCTCGCCTCTCTTGTGGGGAAAAGGACCCTGGTGGTTTGGCAGCGGAGTGGGTGGCAGCACAAGGGTTGGCCTGAGTGGCTGCCAAATGGAGAAGACATCCAGATGGGTTATTTTGTGTCACCCAGGAGGGGTGCCTTCCAGGTCCGGGCAAAGGTTGTCGCTAGTCTGTTGTTTTCTTCTATCTTCCTCCCTCCCCACTTCCCTCTTTGTACCTGATCAGTCCTCCTAAGTTGGGGTTTGGGGAGATCCAGAATTGAAAAAATTAGAGGAGGTGAGTGGATGCAGTGACCTCAAAATAGTTCGTCCACTGCTGCCTGTACCCACAGGCCTCACTTCTTTCCCTCCTGATGGGAAGGGCTTAAGAGTGGATGTCCCACATCAGGCCCTCAGTGAGACACAGTCCAGCAGGGGTTGTGCTGAGTGAGAATTCTGTCTCTGGGGCTTTGTCGGCAGAGGGTCCTCATGGGAGTGCCATAGGGGGTGAGGCTGGGGGATGGGCCTTGACTTCTCTGCTCTGGGGCTGCATGCCTCTTGATGACCTGTCCTCCGATGCCCTGCCAGGGCCCAGTCCCAATGGGATAATGCGTGGGGCAGCCTGCTGTTTATCCCAGCCCAGCAGCAGGAAATGAGTAGAGCTAAGTCCACATGGACTTTCTCCACCTTCCATGCTTGAGAATCAAAAGAGTGGAACTGCCTGGAGTTCTCAGGGAAGGAAGAGCCTGCCTCCCAGTGGGATCCGAGGGTGAGAGGGGGCAGGGAAAGCAGTGTGACCTGTCTGACCTGTGCTGCTTGTTTGCAGAACAGTGGAGAGGGGCAGCAGGATGAATGTGGGCACAGCGCACAGCGAGGTGAACCCCAACACGCGGGTGATGAACAGCCGTGGCATCTGGCTCTCCTACGTGCTGGCCATCGGGCTCCTCCACGTTGTGCTGCTGAGCATCCCCTTCGTGAGTGTGCCTGTCGTCTGGACCCTCACCAACCTCATCCACAACATGGTGAGAGCCTGCCTGCTGCCTGCTCCTGCCCTCTGGGCTGCTCTTTGGCAGGGCTGAGGGATAGGAGGAGCCTGTTGGGCCTGGCCCAGATGTCAGGGTGACGTACTGACATCTGCCTCCAGAGCCCAGGCCTAGTCCTTATCTCTCTGCCTTGCTCCCCCTTCTGGGTTCCTGCCCTGTGTACCATGATAAGAATCAAATCTGCAGATTTTTCCACATCTCTCGGGTGGGGTGGCTGTGGGCCTGGAAGATGTGCCCCTGAGAGCTAAACAAAGGACTCCAGAGAGTTCCTAGGACCCGGGAGTGCTGGTGCCTAGGCTGGTACAGAAATGCCCCTTTCTCAAGTTAGCTTCTCGAACCGTCTTCTACTCTTGCCCTTCCCTGCTCCCTCACCACTTGCTACCTTGCCCTCTTTGGAGGGTAAGCAGGGTTTAGTCCCATCTGCTTGCCTCCTCCCAGCAGGCACAGGGGGCTATGAGTGGCCTGGAGGGGCAGCATCTCGGTGCCTGTCTCGTGGCTACGCATTCTCATGCCAGGCCTAGCCTGTCCCCCAGGGAGTCCCCTTGTTCTTCTCCTGCCAGGCTCCCAGCTTCTTCCTGACCTCCAGCCCACATCCCCCTGCCCAGCAGAGGGAGGCTCCAGATCACTGGGAGTTACTTCTGTCTGTGACTGGGTGGAGGAACTGGGCAGGGGGCCCTTTTCCCTTTTGTATCCTCTAACAAAGACCTCGTCCTCCAGGGCATGTATATCTTCCTGCACACGGTGAAGGGGACACCCTTTGAGACCCCGGACCAGGGCAAGGCGAGGCTGCTAACCCACTGGGAGCAGATGGACTATGGGGTCCAGTTCACGGCCTCTCGGAAGTTCTTGACCATCACACCCATCGTGTTGTGAGTGCCTGGGCTACAGGAAGACACCAGCAGGCAGGGCAAGGCCTGGAGGACCCCAGGGCCCAGTCATGCTTATTAACCCTGCTGTGGCTCCTGGTGTAGGGATGAACAGAGGAAGTTGGAATATTCCTGGGTCTTAGACTGAGCTCAGGCTTTGGGCCTCCCTGGCCCCGTCTTTCCTCCATTGGAGCTTTCTTCCTGCTAGTGAGATAGGCCCACAGGCTTGGGGTGAAGTTGGGAGGTGGGGGCCCCGCTGGGCCGGGAGGGGCCTTTTTAGCCTGAGAGCTCTTGCTTCTTACTCTGGTCTGGGGATCTCTTCTGTAACTCCTTAGCCGTCAGGATTCTGCCTTTCCCTACACAGGAAGTGAGGGAGGAAGGGGTCCTCCCAACAGTCTTTTATCTCTCTCCTCACCCTTCCCCTCCCAGGTACTTCCTCACCAGCTTCTACACTAAGTACGACCAGATCCACTTCGTCCTCAACACTGTGTCTCTGATGAGCGTGCTCATCCCCAAGCTGCCCCAGCTCCACGGAGTCCGGATTTTTGGAATCAATAAGTACTGAGGGTGCAGCCCCTTCCCCTGCCCAGGGTGGCAGGGGAGGGGTAGGGTAAAAGGCATGTGCTGCGACACTGAAGACAGAAAGAAGAAGCCTCTGGACACTGCCAGAGATGGGGGTTGAGCCTCTGGGCCTAGTTTCCCCCCTGGCTTCCCCCAGTAGCCAACTTGGAGTAGCTTGTAGTGGGGTTGGGGTAGGCCCCCCGGGCTCTGACTTTTTCTGAAGTTTTTGATCTTTTCCTTTTGCTTTTTGAATAGAGACTCCATGGAGGTGGTCATGGAATGGGCTTGGCTCCTGGGCTGAACATGGACCACGCAGTTGGGACAGGAGGCCAGGGGAAAAACCCCTGCTCACTTGTTTGCCCTCAGGCAGCCAAAGCACTTTAACCCCTGTGGAGGGAGCGGAGGGCGGTACGGCTTCTGGATTGTGTCACTGTGATTCCTAGGTTTTTTCGATGACACGCAGTGTGTGCTTTTGTGTATGGAAGCAAGTGTGGGATGGGGCCTTGCCCTTCTGGGTAGAGAGCTGTCTGATCCAAGTCTCAGGCTTTTGGCAGCTTCCCTGCAGCGCACCCGGGGCCCTGGGTGGGAGTGGGGAGGGTCAGGTGGGGGGAGATGGGGTGGAGTGTGGATGGCTTGGTCCCAGAGGTGAGGGGCCAGGATTGCTGCCATCCTGGCCTGGTGGAGGTTGGGGAGCTGTAGGGGGTTAATGAGTCGAGACTTAGAAGAATGGGGCCACATAGCAGCAGAGGACTGGTGTAAGGGAGGGAGGGGTAGGGACACGAGCTAGACCCAGTCTCCTTTGGGATGTGGGCAGGGAGGGAAGCAGGCTTGGAGCGTTGATTTACCCACAGAATGTGATAGTAATAGGGGAGGGAGGCTGCTGTGGGCTTAACTCCTGGGTTGGCTGTTGGGTGGACAGGTGGGGAAAAGGCCCATGAGTCATTGTAAGCACAGGTCCAACTTGGCCCTGACTCCCGCAGGGGTACGGGGAAGCTGTGACGGAAACAATGGATGCTGTGGTCCTCTGCAGGCCCTCACCCCTTAGCTTCCTCATGCAGACTGGCACTGGGCAGGGCCTCTTATGTGGCAGGCACATGTGGCGCTGTGAGGCCACCCCACGTGGGGTCGGTGGTGAGAGTCCTGTAGGATCCCTGCTCAAGCAGCACAGAGGAAGGAGCAAGGCGTGGCCTGTAGGCACTGTCTCAGCCTGCAGAGAAGAAAGTGAGGCCGGGAGCCTGAGCCTGGGCCGGGGCCTCCTCCCTCCCCAGTTCGACTAGGGACAGTGTTAATTTTGAAAAGGCGTGGGTCCCTGTGTCCTCTTCCAGGGGCCTGAGGGAGCAGGAGAGGTCACTGGGCCTGTTTTCTGCCTCCTGGCCCTGCATCTCCCACCCCATGTATCATAGGGAACTTTCACCTTAAAATCTTTCTAAGCAAAGTGTGAATAGGATTTTTACTCCCTTTGTACAGTATTCTGAGAAACGCAAATAAAAGGGCAACATGTTCCTGTTTCCCTGTGTCTGGTCTCTGCTTCCTGGAAGGCTGAGGGGAGGGGGCAGGGGTGTGGGCACAGCTCCGGCTGAGGTGCTGGTGGGGTATCAGTGCAGCTCTGACGGTGGCGGGAGGGGCGCTGGGACTGCTGGGCTTTCTGCTGGCTTCAGCAGGGAAATCCCCCAAGGGGGCTGTGAGGGAACTGGCAGCGACGGCAGCAGTAGTCAGAGAGCAAAATTCTCTGTGCTTTTGCCTGGCTGTTCTCCGACTGGTCTTGCGCCTTGACCCCACAGGCTGGGGTGACCTGTGTCGTGGCCAGGGAGGGGGGCAGTCCGGCAATGGTTTACACATGGAACCAGGGTCCCAAGCGGTGCCCAGTCCTTCCCAGTAAATCCCCAGCCCTTCTCCAGTTTCTCACTTCTCTCCCAAAGGCTTTTCCCCAGTCACCTCTCCCCTGGGAGTGCTGTGTTTCCTTCTGGCCTTTCAGTGGAGGGGACTTTTCATACTTCCTGCTCCCACCATAAGCCTGAGTGGCAGGGGAAGAGGTTCTGGGGACTTTCTGAGGCCACCATGGCTAGGAGAGAGGAGTCCTATAGCAAGGAATCCTTATTTCACGAGGGCACTGACCTTCCAGTGTGTTCTGCGCAGTATGAGCTGCTATTCTCAGGAGAGGCACAAAGTCCCAGATAGAAGGGAGGGGCTGCCCCCAGCAGCCTGGGGTCTCTGGCCCTGGTCTACCATCACAGCACCCTTGGAGTGAGTGTCAGGGATGTGGGATATTTGCTCAAGTCCAGCCACCGGCCCTCTCCCAGTAGAGCCCACACATTATTGGAAAGAGAAATATAGCCACTGCTCTCATTCCTGGGAATAGGGGTGCCCTGGTTGCTTTCACCAGCCTGCAAGAGTACAGTCAGGGTGAGGTGCTGGGGAACATCAATAACGATCTGGGTTCGAATCCCAGCTTTGCCACTTGTTAGCCATGTTGCTGTGTCAACTTCTCTGAGCTTCAGTTTCTTCCACTGTTGTGTAAGGATAATGCTCCTAGGGCTGTTGTGAGCATTAGTACTGTGCCTGGCATATAGTAAATAATATATGGTAGCCATATTATTATTATTATAATTGTTACTATCACCACTGTCATCTCTATTTATTTATTTTTTTGAGACTAAGTCTTGCTCTGTCACCTAGACTGGAGTGCAGTGGCACCATCTTAGCTCACTGCAACCTCCACTTCCCAGGTTCAAGTGATTCTCCTGCCTTAGCCTCCTGAGTAGCTGGGATTACAGGTGTGTGTCACAACAACCGGCTAATTTTTTTTTTTTTTTTTTTGGTAGAGACGGAGTTTCGCCATGTTGCCAGGCTGGTCTTGAACTCCTGGCCTCAAGTGATCTGCCTGCCTCAGCCTCCCAAAGTGTTGGGATTACAGGTGTGAGCCACCATGCCTGGCCTCTGTCATCCCTTCAAATGTTCTTTCAGAACTGAGGCATGCAGAGGCCGGAAGACAGGCTGGGCTCACCAGGGTGGTTATCTCTTTTTTTTTTTTTTTTTTTTTTTTGAGACGGAGTCTCGCTCTGTCGCCCAGGCTGGAGTGCAGTGGCCGGATCTCAGCTCACTGCAAGCTCCGCCTCCCGGGTTCGGGCCATTCTCCTGTCTCAGCCTCCTGAGTAGCTGGGACTACAGGCGCCCGCCACCTCGCCCGGCTAGTTTTTTGTATTTTTTAGTAGAGACGGGGTTTCACCGTGTTAGCCAGGATAGTCTCGATCTCCTGACCTTGTGATCCGCCCGTCTCGGCCTCCCAAAGTGCTGGGATTACAGGCTTGAGCCACCGCGCCTGGCCCAGGGTGGTTATCTCTGAGAGAGGACACGGGTGAGGCCAGAGGCCTCTCCCTGGAGAAGGAGGTAGGTGGAGAAGCTGGGTGGCATCCAGATAAGGAAGAGCAGCATCTCCTTGAGAGTGTACACAGGAGCACGGATGGGGAGGGAGGCTGAGTGCTCCTTACAGGCCCACCCTGTTCACTCCAGGTGTTAGCTGCTATTGTCCCGGGTCTTCAGTGTTGACCATCGCATGGCATTTGGGCAGCTGGTTCTGCTGGGTTACAGTCCTCATGTCCCTGGCACAGACATAGCCATTGCCTGCTGGCGCTAGATACCTACTCATGTTCCATTTCTCTATTCCAAACACACTGAATTGCATGGCCCAGGGCGCCGTGGTGTGCACCATTGTCTGGCCCAAACTCACCTAGAATACATATCAGGATCTCCTATGCACTGCTTGGGTCCAAGAAGAAGAGGTTCTGACCTTATCTGCCTCCAGCTTAGTTATAACATGGCTTATCTAAAGGCTTGGGAGGTGAGGCACCCAGCCCTACCCACCCGTCCAGGAAGTTCCACACCTGGACAACTTTCAATTTCATTATTTTAGCTTCCTGAGATTCAGAGGCCAGGAACTGTGCAGAGATCTGCAGCGGGGATTCTCACAACTTCCATTTCTGGTGAACAGCTGAGGTCAGAGAGGAGGTGGGTACCACTTGAGATGGGCCTGTGGTTCCCGGGCACTGTCTTTCCAGACACCTGGAATTCCCAGGGTGGTGGTGAATTGAGAGTCAACCACCATGATGGGGGCAGAGACAGAGAAGGAAGCAGTGAGTGGATAAGTGCCTGGAACAGGCAGAAGGGATGTAGGGGAAGGTGACCAAAGGTAGGATGGGGAAGTGGATCCCAGGAAGCTTTTGCTTCTTCTGAGGCCAACTTACCACCACCTCATTGGGAAATTGTTGGTAGGGAGGCACCCATCCAACTGCCTTGCAGAATACAGCAAGGCAGGGAGCTCAAGAATCAGAGCCAAGGGAAGAAACGACCAGTTGAGGTTAGTAATGTGAAGTCTGGCAATTGTGCCCCTCATCCGTCTCTGGTTCCTCTGTTCGTCAACGTTGGCGCTAATCTGGCTGGGGCGTGGTGGGCCTGCCTTTCCATCCCTCAGGCTCCTTGGAACAAGGGGGCAACTCTGCAGAGGGAGATGTAGAAAATGGGTCTCACTTTACCTGTTTGGGACAGTAGCTGCTACTTTTTTCCTCCAGATGGGTTTCATGAGGGGCAGAGGAGAATCTGGGATCTGTGATGTTTAGCCCTCTTTACTGAGTCATGGCTGCCTCACCTTCTAGAAGTAAGGCAGGCAAATCATTCCAGGTAGTGGTTGTCCTGAAACCTTTGGTTCTTCCCTGACCTCATGTCATGTGTGTCTGTGTGAAGAAAGTCCACCAAACAGGCTTTGTGTGAGCAACCAGGCTGTTTATTTCGCCTGGGTGCAGGTGCTCTGAGTCCGAAAAAGGAGTCAGCAAAGGGTGGTGGGATTATCATTAGTTCTTACTGGCTTGGGATAGGCTGACAAAGTACATTCTCAAGGGCAGGAGAATATTACAAAGTACCTTCTTAAGGGCAGGAGAATATTACAAAGTACCTTCTTAAGGGCAGGAGAATATTACAAAGTACCTTCTTAAGGGCAGGGGAGACTATATCATATCAGGGTGGGGCAGGAACAAATCACAATGGTGGAGTATCATCAGTTAAGGCTATTTTCACTTCTTTTGTGGATCTTCAGTTGTGATACCCTACCTTGTTTTAACCTGAATTGACTCTCCCTTAGCTGAGAGAGCCAGACAAACTCCATTTTGGCTCTTTCACTTGCTGCCCCTTACCCACCCCCCTTCCTCAAGGACTTAACTTGTGCAAGCTGACTCCCAGCACATCCAAGAATGCAGTTAACTGATAAGATACCGTGGCAAGCTATATCCGCAGTTCCCAGGAATTCATCTGGTTGATAGTACCCTAAGCCCCCACATTTGTGTCCGGTTGATGGTACCCAAGGCCCTCATGTCTATCACCTTGTGATAGATTTAAAGCCCCTGCACCTGGAACTGTTTGTTTTTCCATAACCATTTGTCTTTTTAAACTTTTTTTGCCTGTTTTACTTCTGTAAGATTGCTTCAGTGAGGCTCCCCCTCCCCTTTCTACACCAAAGGATAAAAGAAAATCTAGCCCCTTCTTCGGGGCCGAGAAAATTTTGAGTGCTAGCCGTCTCTCGGTCGCCGGCAATAAAGGACTCCTGAATGAGTCTCGTAGTGTGGCATTTCTCTACAACTCTCTTGGTTACAACACAGTTGCTTCAGGCCGTCTGGATGTATATGTGCAGGTCACAGGGAATATGATGGCTTAGCTTGGGCTCAGAGGCCTGACACCTCAGGCTGCCAAATGTGGAAGATTTAAATACTTGAACCAATACCCTCCTTCCAAAAACTGAAATTGGCTTCTATTTCCGAGTCAGTCCAGGTGCAATGTTCAGCATATTTGAGGAAATCACAAGAATTGTAGTTAAGGAGATGGATGCTGGAGGGGATATGATTGCTGTTAGAAGCCTCATTGATGCTGATAGATTCCACTGCTTCCATCTGGTGGAGGAGAAGAGAACTGTCTTTGGATGCCGGCACTACACGATGGCCTCACCCTGATGGACATTCTGGACACAGATGGGGACAAGCGGTTAGATGAACTGGATTCTGGGCTCCAAGGTCAGTATAAGGTAGATGACAGGTGGCCAGCCAGGAGGCCTTGACCATTTGTATTCCTTCTCTTTCTCAATTCACCATTGTTATCAACCAAATCAACCAATCAACGAAACTGTGGAATTTGTTTGTACACATCCACACACCTTAATTTAAGAAATGCACGGAAGAGCTGCATGGTGGGAGGAGAATGGGAGAAGTGGAGATTTATTTCCATTGGAAACCATTCCTAAATGGCCTTTCTTTCCCATTTTTCCCTTGTAAAACAATCTGCTTTTAATTTAGCAGAGCTCTTCTCGTGTGTTTATCATTGAAGTGGATAAGTAAGTGAGGGCAGTTTGCTTACTGGTTAAGAAAGGATGCAGGCTTTAGGGCTGGAAGCACCTGGTTTCAAAGCCTGGCTCTGCCTCTTATCAGCTGGGTGACCTTTGGACAAGTTGTTGTATTGCTCTAAGTTTCAGTTTCCTCATGTGTCAACTCTAGAGGACTGTTGTAAGAATCAAATGAGGGCCGGGCACGGTGGCTCACTCCTGTAATCCCAGCACTTTGGGAGGCCGAGGTGGGCGGATCATGAGGTCAGAAGATCAAGACCATCCTGTCTAACACGGTGAAACCCCATTTCTACTAAAAAATATATATAAAAAATTAGCCAGGCATGGTGGCACGTGCCTGTAGTCCCAGCTACTCAGGAGGCTGAGGCAGGAGAATTGCTTGAACTCAGGAGGCTCAGGTTGCAGTGAACCGAGATCATGCCACTGCACTCCAGCCTGGGCGACAGAGCAAGACTCTGTCTCAAAAAAAAAAAAAAAAAAAAAAAAAAAAAGCATCAAATTAGAACAAATTATGTGAATCATTTATCACAGTCTGCCACAAAAGGAGCACTTAATAAAAGTTAGCTCCCATCATCTGGTGGTCATGGTGGTGATTCTTACTATCCTTTCATGTTCCCTGGCTGTCAAGACTGAAAGGGGAGTTGCTGATGAGCAGAAATCCCTAAGATATTGGGGGAATTTATGGAAGAGTCAATTATTCCATCCCCCTGCCTCTGATCTCAGTTATTCCTGGGGTACTTGGGTTTCAGAAGCCCCTGGGTTTAAGTGTCAAACTCTCACTTGGAGCCCACGCTGGAATATGGTGAGGAGTTCATTATATTTCACAATGTGAAAAAATATTTCATAATATGAAAAATGGCAAGGAGTTCATAGCTCAGACCTCTCTGATACAGTCTGTTTCTTTTTATGAGGTCTCATGCCAAGAGATGAGCTCTAACAGCCCTGAGCAGTTTTAGAGTATTACAATGTGCCAGGAAGTACTTTAAGTGACCGAGAGCGGTACCCAGATTACTTCGAGGTGGTGGGCCTTTCCACAAGTGGAGTTTCGTTGAGCAAGCAAGGGACTTTTGGAGAAATTTCAGATTCGCATTTTTCAAAGACTGAGTCAATGCTCTGAAAAGTAAACTGCCAAGAGCCAATTTGCTAAAAGCCAGCTCTCAAAAAAAAAAAAAAAAAAAAAAAAAAAAAAAAAAAAATCACTTTGCCAAATGATCAATTCACTGAAAATGGAAAAATACTCTAACCCACAACTAGGATGTTTTGCCACAATAATATTACTCCTCAGGGACAGGGCAAAGTGTAAGTCTGGAAAAAAAAAATTGACTAAGTCAGTCAACTTCCTTTAAGGAAAAGCTCATCTGTGTGCATACAAAATTCGGAGGCAGAGGTGAAACCAAACTTAAAAAAGAAAATCCTTAAAATAATGGGAATTGGTAATTTGAATTGATTTTTTAGCTTGGTCTGCTCCCTATTTAAATGGGTTATTTTGTAACTATGTAATGCTGATGGTGCAGTTAAAGTGTGCATAGGGCTGGGCACGTGGCTCACGCCTGTAATTCCAGCACTGTGGGAGACGAGGCAGGTGGATCACTTGAGGTCAGGAGTTCAAGTCCAGCCTGGCCAACATGGCGAAACCCTGTCTCTACTAAAAATACAAAAATTAGCTGGGCACAATGGCACATGCCTGTAATCCCAGCACTTTGGGAGGTCGAGGTGGGCAGATCACTTGATGTCAGGAGTTTGAGACCAGCCTGGCCAACATGGCAAAACGCTGTCTTTACTAAAAATACAAAAATTAGCTGGGTGTGGTGTCGCATGCCTGTAATTCCAGCTACTCGGGAGGCTGAGGCAGGAGAATTGCTTGAACCTGGGAGGTGGAGGTTGCAGTGAGCCATGATTATGCCACTGCACTCCAGCCTGGCGACAAAGCAAGAGACTCCGTCTCAAAAAGAAAAAAAAGTGTGCATAGAATTTTTTGTTTGTTACTAAAGTCCATAGGATTTTTTGTTTGTTGTTAAAGTCCATACTTTATTCATATTAACTTTTTTTTTTTTTTTTTTTTGAGATGGAGTGTCGCTCTGTTGCCTAGGCTGCAGTGCAGTGGCGCAATCTCGGCTCACTGCAACCTCTGCCTCTAGGTTCAAGTGGTTCTTCTGCCTCAGCCTCCTGAGTAGCTGGGATTACAGGCGCACGCCACCACACCCGGCTAATTTTTTGTATTTTTAGTAGAGACAGCGTTTCGCCATGTGGCCAGGCTGGTCTTGAACTCCTGACCTCAGGTGATCCGCCCGCCTTGTCCTCCCAAAGTGCTGGGATTATAGGCATAAGCCACCGCACCCAGCCCATGTTATCTTAGTTTTGACCTAGTGTCCTTTTTTTATTGCAGAATCCCATCCAGGATCCCACATTACATTTAGTTGTCATGTCTCCTTAGGCTCCTCTTGGCTGTGACAGTTTCTCAGACTTTGCCTGTTTGGGATAATCTTGGCAGTTTTGAGCAGTACTGGTCAGGGATAGTGTAGAATGTCCCTCTGTTGGAATTTGATGTTTTTTTCATGGTTAGACTGGGTTCTGGGTCTCAGGGAGGAAGACCACAGAGGTAAAGTACCATTCCTATTACATCACATCAGGGGTATGTACTATCAACATGACCTATCACTGTTGATGTTGACCTTGATCACCTGGCTGAGGTAATGTTTGTCAGGTTTCTCTACCAGAAGTTACTCTTTTTCCTCTTCTTCATATAGTACTCTTTGTGCACATCGTTTTTCTTTTTCTTTTTCTCTCTGATATTTTTCTTTTCTTTTACACTGCTCAAGACGCAAATGGTCCCTAAGACATTTGTGTCTCGTGTACACACAAATAGTGATTTCAGGCACTGTTTCCAATTCTGTCACATTTCCACCAGTTCCAAAATGGATTGATTTGTCTTTGGAAATCCAGTCCTGCCTCCAAAACCTAGCAATGGGAGCTCTTCCTCCCCTGTAAGTTCCCATCTGGGAGGTTGGAGACAAAGGCACGCAGCCCCTTCAGCATGCCCACATATCATCCACGAACCCTGGGGCGGCAACTGACTCAGAACCAAGGCCCTTATTAGTGCCTGATCAATCAGGGCAGAGTCCATGCATGTGGGTGACTTTCCAGGGTTGCCTCACTTTATACTTGTGTGGTTCATACAAACAACAGCAACATAACTGCTTTTTTTTTTTTTTTTTTTTTTTTTTGAGATGGAGTCTGGCTGTCGCCCAGGCTGGAGTGTAGTGACTTGATCTTGGCTCACTGCAACCTTCGCCTCCGCCTCCCAGGTTCAAGCGATTCTCCTGCCTCGGCCTCCCAAGTAGCTAGAATTACAGGCATGTGCCACCACCCCCGACTAATTTGGTAGAGATGGAGTTTCACCATGTTGGCCAGGTTGGTCTTGAACTCCTGACCTCAAAGTGCTGGGATTACAGGCATGAGCCACCGCGCCTGGCCCTAATTTTTGTATTTTTTAGTAGAGACGGGGTTTCACCATATCAGCCAGGTTAGTCTCAAACTCCTGACCTCAAGTGATCTGCCTGCCACAGCCTCTCAAAGTTCTGGGTTTACAGGCGTGAGCCACTGCGCCTGGCCTTAATTTCCCTAAATATAGGAAATAAACATTAGTAATATTCTCCTACTGTAGATGAAGAAACAAAGAGGTTAAGTGACTTACCCAAGGTCGTGTGGTAAGAAGGTGGAGGAGTGGGCTCCATTCTGGGATCCTGTGACCCCAGGTAACTGAGCTTCTGGTGAGAACAGCATTTCCTGGACAGCCGCAGCTGGAGCGCTCCCTCAGAAGGGAGGGGGGTGGTGGCATGGAGCCCAGGATGGGGCTGCCCCAAGGAGGGTTTTTTGGAGAGAGATCTTTTGGGGGTCCGCGCCAGAGTGACCTTTACCATTCTCTTTCCAGGTCAAAAGGCTGAGTTTCAAATTCTGGATAATGTAGACTCAAAGGGAAAGTTGATAGTGAAATTGCCCCAAAAAATAACAATTTCAGGCAGCTTCTAGGGCTCCCACGATCAGAAAATCGAGATATCTGAGAACTGGATATCCCAGCAGTATCTGGATACCCTTGAGAACAGGTGAGGTTGGAGTTGGGCAGCAGGGAAGGAGGGGAAGAAGCCCATCTCGGGCACCAAGGGATTCAAGGGTGGCGGACCTGCTCTTTTATTTATTTTTATTTTTATTTTCCCTGCTTTTCATTAGCTTTGTGGGGGACTGGCTCTCTAGGGCAGCCTCTCACTCTCTACTTCCAGGATTACTCCAGCCTGCCCTTTACACAAGCATGCCTTCCTCTTCTCTGCCTCCAGAAAACCTTCTCATTTACCCAGGAGCAGCCTCCAGGAAGCCTTCTGATGCCCCCAGTTCACTCATATCCCTGCTGTTCCCCAGGATGGTTAATTCCTCTGACTTGGACAAACCTGGTGTTTTTTTTTTTTTTTTTTTTTTTGAGACGGAGTCTCGCTCTGTCGACCAGGCTAGAGTGCAATGGTGCGATCTCGGCTCACTGCAACCTCCGCCTCCAAACCTGGTGGTTTAAGAGGCACTCTCCTTTGCTCTCCTCTGCTTTCCTGCACTGAGCTGACCACATCAGTATTTTGTGCTTGTTTGCCTCTGCCTTGTGGGCAAGCCAGTGGCTTCCATGTTCGTCTTTCCCACTGGACTGGAAGCAACTTGTGACAAGGGACTGACTTTACTAACCTTTCTGTATTGACTCCAAGCACATAGCAGGTACTGAGTGAAAGAGAGCTGAAGTGAAGCACAATGAAAGCAAAGCAACCCTTGGAGGACATTTCCTGCATGGAGTGCAGCCACCCCACCCCAGCAGGGTGGCACCAATCAAATGCCACAGAGGTGCTGGTAGCTGGTGGGCAGGTGCTTCCAATTCAAGAGGACATCACTAGCCATGCCCTCAACAATAGTTCTGTGGTTGTTTTCCTCAGCTGGGATTGTTGGAGATTGAGGAGTAGCTCAGGGGAAGGTGCCCCGCAGTTTTCCTGGCCTTGCTCTCCTTGAGTGGAGTGGGAGCAGGTGCCTTTTTCCTTTTCCTTTTCTTTTCTTTTTTTTTTTTTTGAGATGGAGTTTCACTTTTGTTGCCCAGGCTGGAGTGCAATGGCCCATTTTTGGCTCACTGCAACCTTTGCCTCCTGGATTCAAGAGATTCTTCTGCCTCAACCTCCCGAGGAGCTGGGACTACAGGTGTCCGCCACCATGCCTGGCTAATTTTTGTGTTTTTAGTAGGGACAGGGTTTCATTCACCACGTTGGCCAGGCTGGTCTCGAGCTCCTGACCTCAGGTGATCCACCTGCCTTGGCCTCCCAAAGTGCTGGGATTACAGGTGTGAGCCACTCCGCCCAGGCCCCCTCTTTTTTTATTAATAAATTAAAAACAAAGGCTTACAATAAAACTTTACTGGTCCTTTGAATTACCCCTCCCTACCACAGTAGGGAGGGCCCTCGGAATTTTTCTGAGAGAGCTCAGTGTTTTCTTTTCTTTTCTTTTTTTTTTTTTTGAGACGGAGTCTCACTGTGTCGCCCAGGCTGGAGTGCAGTGGCCGGATCTCAGCTCACTGCAAGCTCCCCTTCCTGGGTTTACGCCATTCTCCTGCCTCAGCCTCCCGAGTAGCTGGGACTACCGGCGCCCACCACCTCACCCGGCTAGTTTTTTGTATTTTTTTAGTAGAGATGGGGTTTCACCGTGTTAGCCAGGATGGTCTCGATCTCCTGACCTCGTGATCCGCCCGTCTCGGCCTCCCAAAGTGCTGGGATTACAGGCTTGAGCCACTGCAACCGGCCTCAGTGTTTTCTATTATAGAATGCTTGTTTGTCAGGTGAGGGTATTGGTATCTATATGTGGGGTGGGGGCACTGGATAGGTAGGGGAAGGTCATTGGAGGCAGGGACCCATGTCTTCCTCGAGGGCCTTTTGATTGCAAATAGAAACTCCATCAGACATTTTAGGTCATAACATGAGTTTCCTCCAGCGGGAATGGAATCAGATGCTTCATGAGCCTAAGGGCAGGTGGTGCAGCTGGCTCCAGGGACTGGTGCAAGGAACTGGAGGCCCTCGTCAGAGAAGAGGGTGTCTTGGGCTTCACAGATGCCTATCTCAGTGTCATGGGAAGGGCACTCCCTTTGGATTTACACTGACCAGGGTTTGAATCCCAGCTCTACGCTTACTATCTGTGTGGCCTTGGACCATTCACAACCTGTCACTAAGCCTCAGTATCTTTATGTGGAAAGTGGATGTAATTCTGCCTACCGTCACAGGATTGTGAAGATTAAGTGGAAAAGTGTGTCTCACAGCTGGCACATTGTAATCCTCCATAAATGCTAGTGAATACTTGCCCCACTTTGTTTGTATTTATTTATTTACTTATTTATTTTGAGATGGAGTCTTTCTTTGTTGCCCAGCCTGCAGTGCAACGGTGCAGCCTTGGCTCATTGCAACCTCTGCCTCCCGGGTTCAAGTGATTCTCCTGTCTCAGCCTCCTGAGTAGCTGGGATTACAGATGTGTGCCTGGTGATCCACTCACCTCAGCCTCCCAAAATGCTGGGATTACAGGCGAGAGCCACCATACCCGGCCTCTCGCCCTACTTTGTACCCCACCCCTACCTCCACCCCAAGGTGGGTAAAGTGAACTGCGATGGAGTGCTGTGTTCCTTGGTTTTCCAGTCTCAGAAGCGATTAATCTTAAATGGGAGCTGGCTCACGGAGAGGGAGAAGAGTCAGTGGGAGGTAAGACCCTGAGATCCTCAACTCTGATCTCTCTCTACTGTCTCCAGGAAGCTGAAGAGGGAACTACCCTTTTCATTCCGATCAATTAATAGGAGAGAAAACCTGTATCTGGTGACAGAAACTCTGGAGATGGTAAAGAAAGAAACCCTGAAAAGCGACCGGCAATATAAATTTGGAAACGAGATTTTTCAGAGTCATCTCAGCTATGAACACAAGGTTAGGATCCTGGGAGGCAGGAACTGTGACGGTCAGCGTTGGCCCACGCACCGCAGGTCAAGGCAATGCCAGCCCTAGACTCTTCCTTCACTCCTCTCCTAGCAGCCCTGCTGCTCTTGGCCACATTGCCCCAAGAAAGGGTGAGTGGCATTGCCCAGTCCCTCCCTTGTTACTCTCTAGCGATGCCCTCTTTTCATTTTCATTTTCTTTCTTTCTTTTTTTTTTTTTAAATAGACATGAGGTCTTGCTATGTTGTCCAGGCTGTCTCAAACTCCTGGGCTCAAGCAATCCACCCACCTCGGCCTCCCAAAGTGCTGGGATTACAGGTGTGAGCCCTGCGCCCAGCCTTCATTTTCGTTGTACATTTCCCATGGTTCATCATTACACAAGTGTATTTTTGCTTGTTTGTCTGTCTCCTTTCTAGGAGGCAGGAGGACAGGAGCCATGGTGCCTAGAACAAAGCAACTCCTCAGTAAACATTTGTTGAATGAACAGTAGCAACAGGATGAGTTTTGGCATCAGACGTGGGTTCAAATTTCAGCTCTGCCACTGTTTTTAGCTGTGAGACGGACTCACCTGCTGACCCCTCAGAGCCTCAGTTTTCTCGTCTATAAAATGGGGATACAAATGACTGCCTCACAGGATTGTTTGGGAAATCAGGCAAGATAATGCACCTGGGGATCTGTCAATGTGAGCTCCTTTTTCCTAGGGCCAAAGGGAAGTGACCATCCTCCCAAATCGGGTCCTGAGCTATCGAGTAAAGCAGCTTGTCTTCCCCAACAAAGGAGACGATGAATAAGCAAAGGCTGATGGGGAACAGGATGGGGAAACCTAAACACACCAGTGAGGTGGGGGGTGGGATTCAACCAGACTCTGTCAGCCTAGGGTGGGTGGCTGGTGAGCTTGGAGGTTGTGGAGGGGTCCAGGGAAAAGGGTTGATTCAGCACTAGGAAGGACTGAGGCTCCATGCTGTGGCCTGGGGACCTGGACCTGCTGACTCAGGGTTTGCCTGAACATGACATAAGAGTCGTTAACTCCTCTCCCAGTCTCTAAAGAGAATAATTGTCTTTTTTGGCTGGGCATGGTGGCTCACGCCTGTAATCCCAGCACTTTGGGAGGCCAAGGTGGGCGGATCACCTGAGGTCAGGAGTTTGAGACCAACCTGGCCAAAGTGGTGAAACCCTGTCTCTATGAAATATATAAATATTAGCCAGGTGTGGTGGCGTGTGCCTGTAATCCCAGCTACTTGGGAGGCTGAGGCAGGAGAATTGCTTGAACCTGGGAGGCAGAGGTTGCAGTGAGCCGTGATCTCACCATTGCACTTCAGCCTAGGCAACAAGAGCAAAACTCTATCTCAAAAAAAAAAAAAAAAAAAAAGAACAGTTGTCTTTTTTTTTTTTTTTATTGGAGGCTGGTGTGGGGATTGAGAGGGACTGGAGAAAGGGAACTTACAGAGTGAGAACTGGTCTCTCCAATAACTTGTTTTTTCCCTCCTTTTTTGGTGCTTGTTTCGATATTTGTTTGAGGGACAAAACAAAATCCTTTCCAGAAGGTGAGTGAGCTGCTGGGTTTCCTGTTCATCATTTCAGAATGGGCAAGAACACTATTTTAAAAAATGAAATTATAGAGTGGTTAGGTCCAAGGATGTGGTAGGATGCACCCACAGGTGGGAACCATGGCAAACGCAGGAGAAAAATTAGCCTGTTGGAGAAGAGTCTGGATTGTACGTTGGACTAGGGTTTCCAGGCTGCTCCTAGGACAACTTTGTGCTGGCAGTCAGCTGGATCCTGAGCTTACAGCCCTCCCCGAAGGCTTTTTGGCCTAGGAAGCACAATTAAATGACTTGGCCAGTTCCAGCATGACAGCACTGGCTGTGAAAAGGGTCCTGGACTGGAGTCAGGCAGTCTCAGGGTCTAGTCCCATCCTGCCACTCACTAGCTCTACAGCCTCTCAAGTCACAGTTTTCCTGACTTTATTTTAGTTTAATTTAATTTTTTGAGACAGAGTCTTGCTCTGTCACCCAGGCTAGAGTGCAGTGGTGTGATCTCGGCTCACTGCAACCTCTACCTCCTGGGTTCAAGCAATTCTCCTGCCTCAGCCTCCCAAGTAGCTGGGATTACAGGTGCCCACCACCATGCCCAGCTAAGTTTTTTTTTAATTTTATTTTTATTTTTAGTAAAGACAGTGTTTCACTATATGTTGGCCAGGCTGATCTCAAACTCCTGACCTCAAGTGATCCACCCACTGCGGCCTCCCAAAGTGCTGGGATTACATGCGTGAGCCACCGTGCCTGCCCTTTCCTGACTTTGAAATAAAGGAGTGAGACTAGAAGGTCCCTGTGATTCTGAATTGTGTGGCTTCCTCTGGAATTTCTAGGTTTTCCCCTTGATGCCAGCAGGGTTGTACTGCCTAAGAGAGGTTGGAAAGGGATAGAGAAGTCTGACCCAAATTTGCAGAGCGACTGAGTGTATGCTGCCCCCTTTCTGGGCCTTGGCTTCTTCCTCAGTCATCTAGGCACGGTCCTATGACTGCCTGTTTTTGAGGATATGGGAGGGGTCTGCAAATACAGTGCTTTCCCATTGACACACACTGATGAGGATGCAGGCTCCCTGGTACCAGCCGTCACCCGTGAGGGCTCAGATTGCAAGCATGAAAACTTCTATCACTGGGAAGAGAAGTCTGCAGGGGACTGGAGGTGATCTAAAGATTCTGAAATAACTCTTCCTCTCTCTGCAGAGAAGGATGGTGCTTCATCCTGTTTAGGTAAGGGTGATAGCCAAGTGTGTTCAGGGTGGCTGCACCAACCCACCCTGAGTGGCTCAAGACTGCTGCTCAGGTGGGGTCAGCGGAGTAGGTATGAAGGAGGGGCACTGCCTAGCAGGTTTCAACTTTAGTCTGGAGGCTGAGTCTGTCTCCTCTAAACGCAGTGGTTCTCATTGGTTATACCCTGAAATCACACGGGGGAACTTTAAAACTAGTGGCGACTGAGTCCCATCTCCAGAAACTCTGACTTAATTGTGGGGGTATGGCCTGGACCTCAGGATTCGGAGTAACTCCTCGGGTGATTCTCATGCAGTCAAGGTTGAGAACCACTGCTTCAACTTTCTCCAAATCCTAATTACTTCCAGTGTGGCCTGAGGACTGCACTTGGAATGGCAAGGACCAAATAACCAAGTTTTTGTTTTTTCCGGGAGGTGGAGAAGAATTTGGGATTGGGACTAGACTGGGGGTGAGCTGGGGAGATGGAAGATGGAAGTGGGGTCAGTGGGAGGCAATGATGGTAGGTATCTCGGAAGAAGGATGCTTAATTTTAACACGGAAAGATTGGAAGAAGGGAAGATACAAAGAGGTGGTCTCCAGAAGCCAGGCAGACAAATAACAGAGCCTCAGAAATAAAGCCTTTTGGGCTGGGTGGCCCAGGTTCTCAACTGCTGCCTCTACAGGAAAGTCTTTGGGTTCAGAGGATTCCAGAAACATGAAGGAGAAGTTGGAGAACATGGAAAGTGTCCTCCAGGAACTGACAGAGGACAAGAGGAAAGATGTGCTAAACTTCCTCACTAAGTGCCTCGGCAGGGAGGAGCTTTGGCAGGATCTAGAGCAAAAAGTAAGAGCCCCTAAGAAAGCACTGGGGCAGAGAGAGAGAGGAGCCAGAGGGGAGGGCAGTTGGCACAGTGAGGATGGTCTGCTCTGGTGAGACTGGTGCTCATCTCCCACAACTCCTGGCCCTAGATATCTGAGGTCCTGATTTTCGGGGAGCTGCAGATGGAGGACCCAGTCAATCCTCTCCTAAGCAGCCTTTTTAATGCTGCTGGGATCTTGGTAGGAGCACGCGCAGAGGCCATTCTGGACTTCCTGGATGCCTTGCTAGGTGAGGAAGGGTCTCGCCGTAGGCTGGGGTGGAGGAAGTGTGAGCAGAGAGGCCTGTGGGAAGTCACATCTTGGGAGGAGTGGCTGCACGTTGCTCTTCACAGTTCACAGGGGGGTACCCCTTCATGTCCCTCAGGCCAGGCATTGAGAGGCTGGTTCCTCGTCTATGACCTCCTGCAGGCCGAGAGGGAAGCAGGAGTCGCAGCAGAGGCCTGTTTGGAGCAACTCTCATCTAGCACTCCCAGGGGCTCTCTAGAACCTTTTGATGATGCATGTTCTGGGTGTGATCAGCCACTGAGGCCCTGTCCCACCATGTATCTCTCCTTTTTGCCAACCACTCTCTTTCTTTACCCCCAGAGCTGTCTGAGGAGCAGCATCTTGTGGCTGAGGCCCTGGAGAAGGGGACTCTTCCTCTGTTGAAGGACCAGGTGAGACAGCCTGGGCTGAGGGCCAGGGTCATAGTGGAAGGGAATGCCCATATGCTCAAGGGACCCCGAAGTCCCAGGGTACAGCCCCTTCTTATTCCATGGTTTTCTGCCAGCTCACATCCATGCAGCTGGTTTGTAACAATTCCCTGGACACAGAGTTGCCAGGACAATTTGTAATGGGTTCTTTAGGCTCTGTTGTTTATCTATGGGCAAGAGAGGGGTGTAAATTGGTTAGTCTCGGGATAGCAGCTGGTGTGATCTTGAGTTCCAGTGCAGATTGACTAGCAGAGCCTGCCACTATGTTGAGAGAGTATGAAGCTCCCCGGGCTCTGCAGGAAAGAGTGCCATGATGGATTATTACGTCTGCCTGTCGGCTCAGCAGTAAGGAGTGTGACCAAATATTTGCCATTTCTGGTATATCGTTATTCCTAGCTTTTACAATCTGGTGGGTTTCCTTGCAGGTGAAACCTATCATGGAGCAGAACTGGGATGAGCTGGCCAGCAGTCCTCATGACATGGACTGTGACCCTGAGGCACGAATTCCCTGTGCGCTGTATGTTGTTGTCTCTGTCCTGCTGGAGCTGGCTGAGGGGACTACCTCCGTCTCTTCCTAACCACAAAAACCCTTTCTCCCCACAAGCCTCTGGGTTCTCCCTTCACCGGTCTGTCCTCACCGCCATCATCACTACCATCCTGTTACCAGTGGGACCTCTTTAAAACAAGCAGCCAACCATTCTTTGATGTATCCCATTCACTCCGTGTTAATGTCCAAAATCAGCCTGGATTTTATGCTTCTAATTAAAAGTGGCAGGTTGTGCATGTTAATTTTGTCTCTTGAAGCCTCACTAAATGACAGTAAAGCAATAGAAAAGCTTTGTATAAACCTACAAGGATGAAAAGAATGCAGCAGCAGATAAGAAACTTTAACACATCTTTGGAAGCTAGAAAGCAATGAAAGGAGTGCAGGCTGGGAGATGTAGGACTGGGAGTAGACAGGAGATTGCTGTTTTTATCATCAGCCTTTTATTTATTTATTTATTTATTTATTTATTTATTTATTATTTTTGAGACAGAGTTTTGCTCTTGTTGCCCAGGCTGGAGTACAATGGCGTGATCTCGGCTCACTACAACCTCTGCCTCCTGGGTTCAAGCGATTCTTCTGCCTCAGTCTCCAGAATAGCTGGGATTACAGGTGCCCGCCACCATGCCCGGCTAATTTTTGTATTTTTAGTAGAGATGGTGTTTCACCCTTGTTGGCCAGGCTGGTCTCGAACTCCTGAGCTCCAGTGATCTGCCCCCATTGGCCTCCCAAAGTGGTGGGATTACAGCTGTGAGCCATCGCACTTGGCCAGCCTTTTAGTTCTATTTGATATTTTTAAAGAAACTGTAATTAAAAGTTAAAGAAATATATGCTTGTTATAAACCATTCAAACATTTCCCAAATATAAATGAGCAGGTGAAGTTACTCTGTGACCTACCCTTTCTTTGTAGAGACCCAGAGAGGTAAGTGAAATATCAGAACATTAAAGTAATTTTGCCCCAGGTGAGGGGGATTGATAATTGGCAAATCCCGGCAAAGTAAGTTTGGGTTTGGCTAGCCTCCTGGACTGATGGCTCCAGAAGCCAAGGCCAAGGGCCTATCCACATTTGGAAGTCTAGTAAAAGGAAACCTTCCCTACCGTATTAGACTAATCTCAAATGGCTACACTGTAAGGGTTAGGGTGAATTAGCAGTAAACTTACTGTTCTTACTGCACCCCCAGGGGACTGCGGGGAAGACTTTCTTGATACTGAGTGAGGAAAAGGTTAGCAAAAGGAAAGGAAAAAAAATTCTGTGAAAACCACAGCCCAGTCTTTTCTCAGAACTTAGCTTCTATTTGTATCCTCTGAGAATTCCAGAGAATCTCAAATTGTGAACTTGGTTTTTGGGGGTCTTGGATGGAATGGACCCCCAGATGCCTGTCAGAACCAAACACAAATTATCTCTGGAGGAATTAATCTCCCACAAATATATATATTTGAGACATGGTCATGCTGTGTCACCCAGGTTGGAGTGCAGTGGAGCAATCACAGCTTACTACAGCCTCCACTTCCCAGGCTCCCTCCTCAGCCTCTTGAGTAGCTGGGACTACAGGTGTGCACCACCATGCCTGGCTAATTTTTAAATTTTTTTTTTTTTGTAGAGATGGCGTCTCCCTGTGTTGCCCAGGCCGGTCTTGAATTTCTGGGTTCAAGTGATCCTCCTGCTTTGGCCTCCCAAAGTGTTGGGATTACAGGTGTAAGTCACTGTGCTTGGTTGGCTAAGGCACATACGTTTTCCTTTTGAGAGATGTGGTATTGCTCTGTTGCCCAGGCTAGAGTGCAGAGGTGCAATCATGGCTCACTACAGCCTCTACCTCCTGGGCTCAAGTGATCCTCCCACCTCAGCCCCCTGAGTAGCTGGGACCATAAGTACGCACCACCATGCCCCATCTAATTTTTTATTTTTTGTAGAGATGGGGTCTCACCATGTTGCCAGGGCCTTACTATGTTGCCAGGGCTGGTGTTGAACTCTCAGGCTCAACTGATCCTCCCTCCTCAGCCTCCCGAAGTGTTGGAATTATGGGAATAAGCCACTATGCCGGCTTAAGGCACACACTTTCAAGTAACTCAAAAGTCAAGGGAGAAATCCTAATGGAAGTTCTAAGATTTTTTTTTCTGCTTAATGATAATAAAAATATATATATCAAACTTGTAGAATTAAGCTAAAGACTTTTTTTAAGAGAAAATATATGTATCACCTTCATTGTTTGTGTTAGCAAAAAAAAAAAAAAAAGCTAAAAAAATCGAAGAGCTAAGTATTCATGTCAAAAAGCTACCAAAGAAAACTCCAAAACAAACCCAACAACAAGCCCCTCCTTTCCCCTCCAAAAAAGCCCCAGCAAAATATATCCAGGAAAAAGAGAAGAAAAAGCACACGAATTGATAAGAAACAAAAACATGAAGAGGATCAATAAAGACAGACATTGGACCTTTGAAATGACTCACAAATCTCTGACAAGAGTAATATTTTATTTATTTGTTTGTTTGCTTGCTTGCTTGTTTATTTATTTTGTTTTTGAGACGGAGTCTCTGTCTCCCAGGCTGGAGTGCAGTGGTGCGATCTCGGCTCACTGCAACCTTCACTGCCTGGGTTCAAACAATTCTCTTGCCTCAGCCTCTTGAGTAGCTGGGACTACAGGTGCACACCACCACGCCTGGTTAATTTTTGTATTTTTTAGTAGAGACAGAGTTTCGCCATGTTGGCCAGGCTGGTCTTGAAATCCTGACTTCAGGTAATCCGCCCACCTCGGCCTCCCAAAGTGCTGGGATTACAGGTGTGAGCCACTGCGCCCAGCTTGACAAGAGTGATAAAAAGAGAGAGGGAGCAAATATCATCAGTTTTAGGAGTGAAAAGGGAACAGTTCTAAAGATGCTACAGGCATTTAAAAGACAAGAGGATATTAGAAATGACTTTATGCCAATAAATTTGAAATTTTAGGTGAAATGGGTGTTATCCTAAAAAAATAAAATTTCCCAAAATTGACCCAGGAAAAAAATAGAAAACATGAATAATCCTCTAAGAACAAAGAATACTCTATCAAGAACAAAATATTGGCCAAGCATGGTGACTCACACCTGTAATCCTAGCACTTTGGGAGACTGAGGTGGGTGGATCACTTGAGGTCAGGAATTCGAGACCAATCTGGGCAACATGGTGAAGCCCGTGTCTACTAAAAATGCAAAAATTAACTGGGCATGATGGCGTATGCCTGTAATCCCAGCTACTTAGGAGGCTGGGGCATGAGAATTGCTTGAATCTGGGAGACAGAGGTTGCAGTGAGCCGAGATCATGACACTGCACTCCAGCCTGGGCGACAGAGTGAGACTCTTTCTCAAAAACAAACAAAATATTCCCACAAAGAAAATTCCAAGCCCAGATGGTTTCTTCAGTTATACAATTAAGTATTTAAGAATAAGTAATTCTAATTTCACACAAACTTTTTCAGAGACATTTTCCAATTCATCCATAACACTAGCAAAACTTACCAAGAACAATAAGAGAAAGGAAGATGCAGACCAGTCTCATTTATGAGCTTAGATGAAAAAACAGCAAAACAAATCAGCAAACCAAATCACCTTAGAAACAGAATAATATAAACTGGATTTATCTGGGATTTCAAGGTTGGTTTAACATTGAAAAATTAATTTATCACACAATTTAAGAAGAAAAATGACAGGATCATTTCAATAAAGACAAAAATGCATCTGACAAAATTCAATATCCATTCATGATTAAAATTCCTAGAAAACTAGGAACAGGGCCAGGTGCAGTGGCTCACACCTGTAATCCCAGCACTTTGGGAGGCCAAGATGGGCGGATCACTTGACATCAGGGGTTCAAGATCAGCCCGGCCAACATGGTGAAACCCCATCTCTACAAAAATACAAAAATTAGCCGGTCTTGGTGGCGGGTTCCTGTAATCCCAGCTACTTGGGAGGCTGAGGTGGGGGAATTGTTTGAACCCGGGAGGTGGAGGTTGCAGTGAGCCAAGATCATGCCATTGCACTCCAGCCTAGGGGACAGAGCCAGACTCCATCTCAAAAAAAAAAAAGAAAAAAGAAAACTAGGAACAGGATGAAATTTCTTTAATCTGATAAGAGTATGTACAAAATATATATAGTAAATATCATATTTAATAGTAAAGTGTTATAAGCTTTCTCTCTGAAATCAGAAATAAGACAAGGATATTCACTATCACTGTCTATTTGACATTGTACAGAAGATCTAGCAAATGCAGTTAAACAAGAAAAAGCAACAAAATATATAAGAATTGTAAAATATTGCATTACTTACAGATGATCTAATATATACATTGAAAATCCAGAAGATTTACAGATAAATTATGAAATTAATAATTTAACAATTTTCTAAAATCAATATGTGGACCAATCGTAATTCTATATATACCACTAACAAATACAAAATGAAATTTGAAAAATACAATGGTAGTAGCACCAAAAATATGAAATATTTAGGAAAATGTTGAACTGAAGTTCTGAAAGAGTTGAAATACATTGTTATAAAATCTTACTGAGGCTGGGCGTGGTGGCTCACACCTGTAATCCCAACACTTTGGGAGGCTGAGGTGGGCAGATCACTTGAGGTTGGGAGTTCAAGACCAGCCTGACCAACATGGAGAAACCCTGTCTATACTAAAAATACAGAATTAGCTGGGCGTGGTGGCGCACACCTGTAATCTCAGCTACTCCAGAGGCTGAGGCAGGAGAATCACTTGAACCCGGGAGGCAGAGGTTGTGGTGAGCCAAGATCACGCCATTGCACTCTAGCCTGGTGACAGATCGAGACTCTGTTTCAAAAAAAAAAAAAAACTTACTAAGAGAACTTAGAAAAGACTTAAACAAAAGAAGAGATACTACATTGAAGGATTAGGAGACACAATATTGTAAAAATGTTAATTCTTCTCAGATTGATTTATGGATTCAGTACAATCCCAATAAAAATCCCAACAGTTAAGTAAATGAGTGTGTTTGTTTGTGTGTGTTTATGTAGGTGTGTAATTTAATAAGCTGATTCTAAAATGCAAAGGGGCAAAAACAGCTATGAGGCTTTTGAAGAAGAATAAGGTGGAAAGACTTGTTCTACCAGATCCAAGACTGATTATGAAAGCTGTAATATTTCAGTGTGGCACTGGAACAGGGATAGACAAAAGCAGAATGAAAGAGAGATCTCAGAAATAGATCCCCATGTAAAAATGGACATTTGATATATGAGAAAAGTGTCAC